AGTCTTTTGTCTGCGACTTGATCTGTGTTATTTACTTCAATTGTAAGCTCAGAATTTATTCTAAATTTAAAACAACGAACTCTAACAAGAAAAATATTAATACACATGTTTTGTATTTTTTCATATTCTTCCGGCTTTTTAACTACAGTTAGTTGTTGCTTTAATTACATAAGTTCTAATGTTCTTAGAACCGTAGAGGTTTTAAGGTAATATATTGGCATTTCAGCTAAGTGAAAGACTTACTGCATGCGAAAGTAAAGTGAAAATGTTTACTTCGTGATTATTTTTTTTACTTTGTAATAAATTGAAACACAGCATCCGCAAATAAAAAAGTTTATTTGGTAATGAGGACACATTAGAATTGACTGATTTAATATTTTTCGAAAATGATGGATCCTCAACATCTGCATATATGTATGTCACACAAGTTTACTCCTTGTTGGTAATGGTTAACTTAAAACAATTGTGTGAAATTATTTTATCAGAGTTTTTAATAATGCGTTCATTCATCTATGACTTTACACTAAGATTTATTTATTATAGGATTTATTTATAATTATTTCTATTATTGGTTTTCGTATTAGCACTATTATTCTAGTGTTATCGTTATTGATTTTTATGATAATTTAAAATTATTTTAAAGTAGAGTCAGCGTGTCTTTGATATGTTTTCTAATTACAATATTTGGAACATCATATTAGATGTATGAATATATATTTATTAATGTATATATTTTTTTTTTTTGTGCTAAATTTGCTTTTATTTTATTGTTATTTAACGGAAACAAACGTGAGTATATTAATTTATTATTTCCTATAAATTTCAATGGGTGCGCTAGAAGTGAACATAAAATATTTTCAGAAATATTCTAGAATAAAATAATAAACAGCCAACATTTTGAAGCAAACACATTCAATTTAATTAATATTGTTTTTAAATAGAAAATTTCTTATATACGTTAATTTTTCGATTGTCAATATTTCTTTTGTTCTCAATTATAATTGAGTTTTTCGATTATATTCACTACAAACAATATTGACGAAGTGCAGTTCAATGTATGCAAAATCCATTGAATTTTTATGATTATTTTGTTTATTTGATTTGTTTTTGTTTATATATTTGTTTATTTTTAAGGCTTAGAAAATAAAATTTTTTTTCGTAAATAATTGTTTTTAAAAGATAGTGTTATTGTTTTAGATATTCATATTGAAATACTATAAATCAAATTTTTGCTTTTAATTTAGTTGAGATACATTGCGTACCACGAATATGTTTCACATTTGCGCCTGAGAGTTGTTTTCAAGTTTCTTTAAGTATCTAACAGATTTTGTAATTCTCATGTTTAATGATTTAATTTAAAGAAATATTAAAGAAATATTTTTTCAAACTAAAATACAAATTTAAAGCAATATGGCTTAGAAGTCGTATCTAAATTAAACATTTTTTTTGAGTAGAATATAGATGATATGGGTATACTTTCATGTATACTAAAATTAAATGTTTCTGAATATTAAAATAATTTGCTATGTTATATTTTCATTATAATTTTCAAATTTTGAATTCTATATACAAATAAATAATAAATAATATCATCGACGGTTTCTTATATAATAAATTAAATTATGCGAAGTTAAGATCACGTTTTTTATACATTTCCTTATATATTTTACATGAAGGGAGAAAAGCTCCCCTACGCCTTTAATAAAGTAATTCTTAAATAAATCAAAAAACATATTTGGGACTTACGAACAGTGTTACCTTAACTCCCTTCAAAGCAACCAAGGCTTTCTAAGATATATTTTCATTTAAAATGTTGTGTATAAATTGTTAACGAAGTAATGGGTCCATCTAAAGGGTAATCCAAACATATCAATCGGGTCATTAACAAAATTGTTGTTATATTTTTTAGACTTAATATAATAGTTTTGATTGTGTCTTACGATTGCCAAAAAATTGTTACGATTGTTTTATCTGGATTCAGTACCAAAAGATATTGTTACTTTTTTAATTACCTTAATGCATTTAAGTTAACTTACGGAACTTACCCTGGCAACAGCATAATTAATTTCAAAAGCTGCGAAGTACTATTATCCATTTTAATAAATTATTAACATTATTATGTTGTGGGATATAGTATTGCTTTCTTAAGAATTTGCTCAGTCAGAAATTGGCAGTCTTGAACATATTTTACCGTGTTTTATTAGTTTACGCGAAATGTGATGGTCGCGCTTTTGTTTTTTTCTTTTATTAAGCTGTGAAAGACATGCACCCAACATATGTTTTATAATCTGAGCCTCTTCTCAAAAACTAAAAAATCCAGTAGAGTAAACTCCCAATTTAAATCAAATAAACTGTATCTTTAATACAGTTTAATTCTCTAAATAGCAATATTCAGTTCTAACTATTCTAATTAATTTTTTTTTATAAAAAAATTTTTAATGTATAAACAGTACAACTGTTTTTTTTAGTCAGCAAAAACTTGGTTTTGGTCAAGTTGAAAATAGTTAAATGGTTAATATTTAAGTGTTAAATCTAATGCTTTTGCTTGTAGCATTCCTTTCCAATAACAAATAACGAATTCATGAAGTCAATAAAAAACGAAAGTCTGGGACGAAAGGACATTAAGTAAAAGGCCCAGAAATACTCGAGATGTGTGTATGTGTAGCTGAACTCTGACCACGAGAAAAAAGGGAATGACGTAATAAATTGTAAACTAGCTGAAAAGGAAGCCAAATATCTAATAAAGGAAACAATGTAAATGCTTAAGTATCTGTGGCATTTAACTACGTTTACAGTTATCAAGCGAGTTTATTTACACACTTTTACGTAACTTGGAAACAAAAAAGAAATTACGCAAACATAAAAAATGAAAACAATCGTCCTAATGACAATACCAATCGATATTAAAACTATTTTTGCCTTCTACTAGCAAAAACTACTTTTGTGTTAAGGAATGTTTAACATTACTTAACACAATCATATGATAAATAATATACAATATATAAAATATTGCACATATTTCGAATATAAACTTCGGTTTTAAAAAGTTTCTTTTAAAAAGGATAAAAAAAGGCTTATTTTGTAAATTTTTGTATTGTCAATACACATTTCATTCTTCTAATTTATACACCTTTTTTAAAGTTCAAATAGGTTTTATTTAAAATCATAAGTTTTACTTAATCATAAATCATAAGTTTTACTTATGATTTTGATATTTTCTTTATTTAAAACTCTTAAAATAAGTTGGGCACGTTTCACTCTTCACACTTTGCAGTTTTCTTGTCGTATATACCATGAACTTATTCCGGTATATTTCATGAAAAATAATAGTAAATATTGCTTGTTTTAATTTTTTAATAAAAATAATTGTATCATTCATATTTTATGAATTCTAATTCTAATCTAAAAATAATTCTATTCGCATTTTTCTTTAAAGTTCTAGAATATAAAATTAAACACTCAAGCAAAGTGTATTTTTGGCATATTTTAGTAACCCTAATTTGAATGATGTTTTGTTTGTTTACACAATACACTTTCATTCATCACATTCCTTTCTCCATTTAATCTTCGGTGGTACAGTTCTGAATGTTATTATTCTAGTACCCACATTTAGTGCTAATATATTTGTACAGATTGATTACTGAAATTATTACTCAAACGGATTCATGTTGTACGGTTTCATACATTGATACAACAACAACAACAACAAGAACAACAACACGATGACCATAACATGAAATCCTTTAAGCGGACATGAATCAATTGTTCGAGTGCGCAATTAAAAACGTATTAATTTTGCAGCAAACAAGCAAATTGCAGCACATCGTGTAATAAATTTTGTATCCGCAGACATGATTGCCATACATTCTCGGCTGCGGCTGTGGCTGCGGCTCTTCTTACTTTACCGATTACGTGAAGTGTTGGTGAAGAGTGTGCGGGCATACACAGGCAAAATGTTACTGAACGTTGGCAGGTCGCAAGTGCAACCAAGTTCTATCTGATAAGTTGTGTCGGTGTCCAAATGATGGGTTTCCTATGTACGATTACAATGAAATCATTTCGAAAAGCTTTTTTATGTGCCAGCACACAAGGTGTGCATTGGTATATGTGTGTACTGCACATTTTTGAGGATATAAGCTCACATTGTGTGCATGTAAAAATGTGTGCGTGTGAAATTATATGCTTATTATATGCTTTCCTCAACAACCCCTCAAAGGCATTATAAATTACGGATTAAGGAAAATATTGATGTAGTTATAGATTAATATCTATAAAACCCTTTCTGCTTTAATTGATGTGAACGTTTTTAATTAAACAAAAGATTAAATAATAAATTTGTGCAATTTACTAAAAGTGCTGATAACCAATTATGTGAAAATTCCGCTTTATTGAATTATTATATTTAAAGTTTTTAGTATACTGAAATATGAATTATAATGCACTTTGTTTTTTCATATTCATTTTTCATACTCTTGTACTACTCTTCATACTCTCCATAGTTTCTAGTATTACTCTTGGCCAATAATATTTTATAAAATTTTTATCAACATCCGGCGTGTTGAAATGCAACAGGTGGCCCGGTGCCTCCTCTTCTTGTACCAATGAAAATGTACTACAGGAGATTGAGCAAGGCACGCCGATATATATTATCCTAGATACTTTTGATGTACTTCTGTGTATCAAGTCGGAGAGTCTACATTTGGAGTACAGAGACCATGTAGCTCTTAACCTGAGTACTGAAGAAAACAAAAAGAATAAGAAAACAGAAGATAAAATAAGAAAAATGTAACAATAAAAATACGAAAGAATAAATTTACTAATATTTTTGTTACAAATCATGTACATATATATACTTTAATACTAATAAGGCTAATCAAAATTAGCGCTATTCGATATTTGGACTCGGAGGTTTAAGTCAGATTTTTATAAATCTTATACGTTAAGAAATGTCTTATTCTTTATTTAATATCGATTGATTTTTTTTTTTTTTAATTTTACAGGTCGTACTTGTTTTTATACTCAGCATTGCATCTCTCATCATATATTTTGTGGACGCATCTAGTGAAGAAGTCGAAAGATGCCAAAAATGGAGTAATAACATTACCCAACAAATCGATCTCGCATTCAATATATTTTTTATGGTTTACTTTTTTATACGAGTAAGTTTTTGTGTTTTTAATATTTCAGTTTTATGATGCAATTGATTTTACTAAAACTATATTTTTATTTTTTTTTATAAATTTATTCCTTTTCTTTTGCTTTTCAATTATTTATTTATTTTGTTTTTTACAGTTCATAGCGGCGTCAGATAAGCTTTGGTTTATGTTAGAAATGTACAGTTTTGTAGATTATTTTACAATACCCCCGTCCTTTGTATCAATATATTTAGATCGAACATGGATCGGTAAGCAAAATTTGTATATAAAACAAATTTTCGGTGGCAATGTGGTAAACTATTTTATTCAAAACTAGTTTGCTTGATTGCTTTGGAAAATTTGTTTCAATTATTAGAATATATTTGATCGAAATGAATGTGTGCAATGAGCTTTACTCCATAACCAAAGATTTCAAAATCTCTGTAGGTCTTCGATTTCTTCGAGCACTTCGTCTCATGACTGTCCCGGATATTTTACAATATTTAAACGTACTTAAAACATCGAGCTCGATACGTTTAGCTCAATTAGTATCCATTTTTATATCAGTTTGGTTAACAGCAGCGGGCATTATACATCTGGTAAGTAAATAAATACGAGTAATATAGAATTTTTATATACACAATTGACACAATAGAGTAGTTACGATACAGCATTTGGTAAAAGTAAGTCTTGTAGCTAAGCCAGAGTACATTATAACGCAAGAATTACTTATAACAAATGATAGTAGAGTTTATTATTTAAACATAAAATCAATAATTTATAATAAGTTTCATGCAGAAATATAGAAAACAAAATATCATTTTTTAAAATTCAAATCTGAAACCTATCCTATGTAACTATTTTTCCACTTTCAATAGCTAATAATTTAACATTTTTGTATTTTTGGAAACAATATACAAAATTATTCAACAGATTGTGTCCAATAGTATAGTTCGATAGTATGAAAAAGTAAAGATACATTTCAAATTGTTGTACTTATTGGAAATTTTGTTATTTTTACTTATTTAAAAACAAGCTGGAAAACTCTGGTGATCCATTGGATTTTAATAATGCTCATCGATTATCCTATTGGACCTGTGTCTATTTCCTAATTGTGACCATGTCAACGGTAGGATATGGTGACGTATACTGTGAGACTGTTTTGGGAAGAACATTTCTAGTGTTCTTCCTACTCGTCGGCTTGGTAAGTAATATATCTATGCTTTATTAATAAAAATAACAATTAAATTATATTGTATATTTATTTTGTGGTTTAAAGTGACTTTTTATATGATATATACTGTATAGCCGCCGTCATATTCTTTTGAAATGTTAAGCATCTAAAATACAAGTGTTACAACAAAATATGATGAGGTTCGAATTTTAAACATTTCAAGTTTAACTATGGGAAGGGATGTATTTCATAGGGGTTGAGTAAGAAAATACAAGGGCTTCTGTTACGATATAACATCAGATTGGAGTGAGGTTTTTAGAGATAGTTTGTGTGAATGATAAAACTATTAAGATAATAAAATCAATACTTATTTCTTTATTTAAAATGTAGAATAAATTAGCACAGTTTAACTAATTAAGTAAATATATTAAAACATAATCATTTTAATTAATTAATAAAGTAATTTCTTCTTGGTTGCTACATACATTTAGAATTGTGGTAATTTGGTAAAACTACGTCGATGATGTAAATACTTTCCATTATTTTGACTTAAATACGTTTATAATATTTCCTAATATATTCAATACAGAAACAATAAAAAAATAGTTGATCATTAGCATATTTATGCTTCACATTAAAATATGCACATTATCATCACAAGAATTCTTTTGTAGTTTTATTTAAATATTTTTTCTCTAGTATATACATCTTCTCTTCTCACAATTGAAATTAATTTTAATTTTCCTATAGTAAGTTATTATTTTTGGTTTTGGATTTGAAGACAACTAATAATTTTAGCTTAAAATTTTTTGTCTCTCCTTGCCCTTACGGTTCCAAATCGTATCCATACATACATGTACACATTCATACATATCGATGTGTTTCTTTTGCATGAATAATTCAGTTTTTTCTTATTTTTTTTTTTTTTGATTTTTTTAACATGTCAAACTTTTTTTGATTTCACGTGAAAGTACCATAAAAATGGTCAAGGATTTAACATTTGCTACAATGCGAAATATGCTCAAGATATTTGTATTCATATACTTGGGTTCATATTTTATATGTTTTATTAAGTAAATGGTTTACGTTATAGATAATTATGATAAGTAAGAAGAAACCATTTTGAAGCAATTCTCTGCTCAAAGAAATACATTTTTGTATAATACTTTCAATCGTTTATTTATGTATATGATATTGTGTATGTGTTAACTGCATGCAATGCTGGCTGCTGCATATGAATTAAAAGCCTATAGGTACTCGTGGCCATATTAATACTATCAAAAGCAGAGTTGATCAATTAAGCTAAACAAATGCAATACATTTACTAACATCAAAATTTCTCATTTCTCATTTTGGCTTCTAGCCAAAAGAGTAAATGAGGCCAATGCAACTTGCAATCAATCACAATTTAACTCTTAACTTGAACACTAAGCTAGAATTAAAACACTTATTTCGTGCATCTCAATAGCAGCGAAATAAAAGTATTCAGCCTTCATACAACAGGGTTGAGTGTGGAACAAGTACTTTAGTTCTATGTGAAATGTTATTTTGATTAGGTTAAGTTATAAACCAGAAAAGTGTGAAATGTTTATATTAATGTTAATGTTAATGATATGTTAGGAACAGTAACTTAAAATTGATTACATAAAAATAATAATAAACAGATATATACAACAGATATATTACACTAATCTGTTAAATAATTCACTTTTTAAATTATGTAACATAACAGAATATAACTCTTTTTAAAGTCCACTCACTCAATATCATAAAATTAAAAATTAATAATAATTTCCTTTTTTAATTGTTTATAATTGATAAAAAAAAGACTGAAGTAAAACAAAATAAGAGCTTTAAATTAGAAATTAGTTTTTGTTTTTGTTTTTATTATTATGTACGATTCTATATTACAGTCGCCAACGTCAAACAAACTTCGAATACTACTACATAATAATAAAAATAAAGTTAAAAACTGATTTAAAAGCTTTTATTTTTTTTTAATTTTTCTTTTTATCAATTATATATAATAGTTTATTTATATTAAATAATTTCATTACTTCATTAAATTTAAAAACTTGTCTTAATAATGGTAATACTCATGTATCAATAATAGTCGTCCAATATAACGAATATCTAATCTAACGAATGTGGACTTTAACAAACAAGAATTCCCTATCATTCAATTATGTATTCTAATTGACTATATAAAATAGTGAATGATGTAACGAACACTATAGGAAAATAAAACGAATACAAAGGAAATGTCTTTTAAATAATAACGAAAATGCACAACAGAAATGCTGTGGAACTAAGGGTTCCTATGCAATGGGCTGTAGATAACAATATATATTACATCAGCATCATACCTTTACAAGATCCACAAAAGTCAGCGTATAAAAAAAATAATAATAAACAAATGAATTTTGTTTTTTTCAGTAAACACCTTAATTTAAAAAAAGTAACAATTGAATTGATCTGAAAGCTATATTGAGTATCTGTGTTTAATGTATTCATTTGATTTAATAAACTTTTCGATTAACCGAAGGCGCGTGTATAGTAGATACAAACTATATATATGTATTAGAAGTTATAAGTTATGTGTATGTACATTATGTTCAGTAAGACGTTAGGAAAGAGATTTGTAAATGTTTATATTAAAAAAATAATAACAGTCTTAATGAAGAATAACTTTTTTTTTATTACTACTCTAATCTTTGCCGAATAGCTGCAACTAATAACTAACAATAAAAGTGTAAAAAAATACATTTATGTATTAACTACTCAGAAAAATTATTAAATTAATAAATAATTAGTTTCTTGATGCAGAAAATCTTTAATTTAAAAAAATTTCAATAACAAATACAATGGAAGAATGTATCCACATTTTGTGTATTTAACAGATCTGAAGATGTCCAAAGCAACAGAGGTCTTTATATAGGAGTATATTGTATAGATAATGTAATCTTTTTTCAAAAAGAATTGATTAAAAAAATTTCTGATTATATTATTATAAAAAATTAAAAATAATTTTCATTAATTGTTTAAATTAATATTAAATGTTCGTCTTTAGTTTTTTTTATACAGTTCATTGGTAGTATCTGGTTTCAATAATATTAGGACGTAAACTAGGTAGACAGTAGTAAAAAATAGGAATCAATTTTTAAAAGCAAGAAAAATTATAAAAATACAGCTTTCAAAGTCGAAAGCCTTAGATTTAAATTTTATTTTAAATGGCTTAGTGAAATGAAAGCATATATTAAAATATTAGAAACAAATTATAATTATAATATAATTATAATATTAATAATAATAGTAATTATTTATCTATAAAGGCAAGGGAAATTGTTTTTATGGGTTTTTATATATATACTTGTATTTTGTGAAAATTCTATGGGTTGAACTTATGCAATTTTATTTATGTACCTAGGTATAAACATATTGCATTCGACAAGAGATGTTTAAAATATTTAGAATTTTGTTAAAATTGAATATGTGTGCCGCAACAACAACAGAATTATATAATTAAAAATAATAATAAATTCTAGGCAATGTTTGCCAGCAGTATTCCGGAAATTATTGAACTCGTTGGTAGTGGCAATAAATATGGCGGCGAACTTAAAAGAGAACACGGAAAGAGGTAGACTAAAAAAGCCATAATATAAAAAATTAAATTGAAATACAAAAAAAATTTTCTTATTTATTATAATATTAATATATATTATAAATGTATACAATTTGTACGTATAATGCTGTTGTTAATTTTTCTTTTTTCAAAAAACTTAATTCCCGTGATTTTATTATTTTTGGTTACGTTGTGTTTTAAACTAATTTGTTTGCGCAATTTGTTTATGTAAAAACAAAATGGATTCTTGGAATTAAAACAGACTGATTTGGTCCTTTTGCTTCTCAACTCTCTTAACTGCTAATTTTTATTATTGATCACAAAAATTTCAAATTCGGCAATTGTTTATTATATATGAATGTAATAAACGCAAAATATGTTTTCTTTAAATAAATAAAAAAATAATAATAGAAAAATGAAATAAAATGAAAAAGTTCATATTTTTTGCTTGATTTTATTACAAGAGCTTCGTGAACGTTTTTATTTTTGTAAAAATTAAAAAATTATTAAGCACAATTCCTTTAAATGATCAAATATTTTTATTGATTTTGTCCTTAATAATTTTTAGTCTGTTACCCTTTTTTATTTGATTTTATTTTATCCAGTATTAAATAGCTTTTTACACACTTCCTTAAGAGTTTTCTTTTTCTTTTATGTTTGGCGTTTCAAATGTAGAATTCATTAATCTTCAATATACAATACATGTTTCGTCTTGTTTTTATTTGAAGACTTCAGTCCTTTAATTTGAACAACATATTAAGTTTACTCATTATAATGATTTCAAACATATGAAAGTAAAGTAGTGTCAAAATTTCCCTCACTGCGTCAAATCTCATAAACATCAAAACATAAAATGCCACTGTTTACCGGAAGTAAAGTCTTACTCGTTGCAAAGACTATGTTGTAACTCGGATAGCATTTATTGCTCTCCGAGTCACCTTTTAAATGTGATATAACGAGTCACATTTTCAATGTAATAATATTAAATATTTTATTAAATTTACTTTAATGGGTTTTATACTTATAATTCATTTAGCATTCATTAGTATACTACACAATTATTTAACACAGAAAATTTTCTTTCAAGCCCACATGAATTTTAATTTTCTTTGCTTTTAACGCTTAATTTATAACAATAAAGCTATATTTAAAACAATGTATCTTAGTTTATTTTTATGTAGTTTGTATTAAACTTATTATTCCTATAGTACAGTACTATATATATATATATATATATATATATATATATATATACTATATATATATATATATATATATATATATTATGTTTAAATCATTATGAATTTTGTTTGAAAACTTTCAAGTTCCAGAATCTCTATGTCAAAGCATCTTGCCTATAGGTTAGCTTAGATATTTTTTAATCTACCTATAAGGGAATGTGAGAGAC